TCTCTCTCTCTTTTTTTTTTTTTTTTTGCTTTGTTTTTTGAGATAGGATCTCACCATGTAGCTCTGGCTGTTCTGAAACTCACTCGGTAGACCAAGCTGACCTCAAACTCACAGAGATCACCTGCCTCTGGCTCCCAAGTGCTGAGAATCCTACCACTTCCAAAAGACATCTGAAGGGAGGCATTCATGCGGACTCCTCCTGTGGCAACTGTTGCTACCTCCAGTCAGTCACTGTCTGCTGGAGAACTCCTTGGTGTGTGGTATTGTATCTGGCTAGTGGTGAGAGTAAGAGGAAGCGCTTTCTCTGAAGCCTCTGTCTACCGAAGGGCAGGATGCGCCACAGGCAGTCAAATGCTGGGGACCCCTCTCCAGAACTGTCAACAGGGGAAGATGATGGAGCCTTAGTCACAAGGCAGGATGAAGACCTAGTAGATAGCCCCAACTTTGTCCCAGACAAAGTTTGTCTGTTCTTCAAACTCAGTCATCTGTCTCACCTGAAATCCATGTGCAATCCAATAGAGATGCCTCTATTTTAAATGTCAATTTAAAAAAATTAAAATCAACTAGTCCATTCTGAAGGTGCCTATCCATCTTCCCTCTCCCCTGAAGAGAAGGCTATCTTATCTACTTTCCAGCTGTGCCTAGCTCACAGTTCCAGGCCAGCCTTTCTCTTTTTAATCCAGCCGTGACCAGTTTACTTCCCTTCAGGGAGGAAAGGGAATGGTCTTTGTCCCACATCAGGGCGCCACAAACAAGTTTCAATTGTCCAGAAGAAGCAAATCTACTGAGGCAGAAAGATTAATGGCTACTTAAGCTGGGTGTGGTGCTAATACTAATAGATTGCTGGGCCGAAGGCCATCTAGGTCTGCAAAGAGTGACCCTGTCTAAAAAATAAATAAATAAAACCTGGCCAGGTGGTGGTGGCACAAGCTTTTGCCTTCAATCCCAGCATTCAGGAGGCTGAGGCTGGCAAATGTCTGTGAGTTTGAGGCAAGCCTGGTCTACAGAGTGAGTTCCAGGATAGCTAAGGCTACACAAAGAAAAACCAGTCAAACAAACAAACAAACAAACAAAAAGCTGACTAGATGGTTCAGTGAGTAACAGGTAGAGAACTGATTCCACAAAGTTGTTCTCCGACCTCCATCTGACCCTCAAACACAGCACCCCTCGACAATAGCATTAGATTTTATTTTTTTTATATATATAAAAATGCTTTGCCCGCATGCATATATGCGCACCACACATGCATGCCAATTTCCCACAGAGTCCAGAAGGGAACATCAGATCCCCTGAAACTGGAGCTACAGTCTGTTGTGAGCCGTCATGTGGGTGCTGGGAATGGAACCCAAGACCTCTGGAAAAGTGCTCTTAACTGCTGAGCCATCTCTCCAGCCCCTAATAATAAATTTTAAAATTTAAAAGAAAAAAAGAAATGTCATTCCTCCCCATCCCCAAATAAACACAGAAGCTGCTCAGTCAGGGGCAAGAGGAATGATGTTCAGTGATTGTTAACGAGTATGGGTTTCCTTCTGGGATGAAGAAAATGTTCTAAAATTGATGAGTGACCATTGTATACTTCTGTAGATACATTAAGAACCACATGGAACGAGCTACATTTCGTTGTTGTTTTTTGAGACAGGGTTTTTGTTTTGTTTTGTTTTTTTTGTATAAAAGCCTTGGCTGTCCTGGAACTCATTTTGTAGACTAGGTTGGCCTCAAATTCACTGAGATCCAGCTGCCTCTGTCTCTGGGATTACAGGCATGCGCCACCACGCCCAGCTGGAATGCTCTACTTTACTGGATGAACTGCTCGCCCTGTGCCTGAACACCTCAGTCAAGCTGCCGAGGGGGACTGAAGCAAGTGCAACACCAGGGAACCTCACCTGGTACAAGGTACCAGGGAATCTATGACCTTGTGCAGCAGAGGCTGTTTTCCTCCGCTAGGACTAACCTTTTATTTCTGCTATCTATATTTTCTTTGGTTTGGGGAATGAACAACTCCCCCATCTCCCTCACCTCCACAGCTGAAATCTGTCAGTATTTTAATTATTTTCATTCATTTACATAATATATTTTAATGATATTCAACTTCCCATTATCTTCTTTTGTTCCATAGAGACTTTTTTCCAATAAGCTTTGTATAGGTTGTCTTGCTGTTTGTGGCTATGAATAAAAAGTTTGAGGCCAGCCTGGGCAATATGAAACTTTGCCTCAAAAAAGAAAAAAAACACACATTTTATACACACACACACACATTTTTTTTTAACGAGAGTTTTGGGTTTCTGTCTTATTTTTTTTGGTTTACAGAAATGTGCCACCATAGCCAACATTTCAACAGAAGGGTTTTCCAGTCGACCCTTCGCTGAGCAGACTTTCCTGATTAAGTATCAGAACGGATTTGCTCTTGCATACATAATGTTCTCCACAGCTGATATGTGAAGATGGTCAGTTGGGAAATATTAAAGATTTCCCGGAAAAAAACATTTACCTATAAAATCCACATGAGGAGACTATGAGCCTAAGGCAAGAGAGCTACAGATAGGAGTGACAGTCTTGGTAAGGACAGGGTTGATGAAGCAGCCTTTGTGGGTTCCCAGAGGGGGTCGTCTCCCCTCAGACTCCCAAGTCCAGCGCTGGACTAAAGAGGCACCACAACACTGGCCCCATGCTCTTAAAAGTCCCATACCTGAAACTGGAAACTATAATCAAGACTAGGTCAGAGTCCAGAGGTGGTGGCGCATGCCTTTAATCCCAGCAAATGCGAGGCAGAGGCAGGTGGATCTCTGTGAGTTTGAGACCAGGCTGGTCTATGGAGTGAGTTCCAGGACAGCAAGGGCGGTTGTGCTGAGAAACTGTCTCGAAAAACCAAAAATTAAAAAAAAAAAAGTTGGACAGTAGTAGCGCAACCTTTAATCCCAGCACTTTGGAAGGAGGAAGCAGGTGGATCTCTGTAAGTTCAAAGTCAGCCTGGGCTACAGAGGGAGTTCCAGGGACAGTCAATGCTACAAAGGAAAACCCTGTCTCAAAAAACAAAACAAAAAGTCAGAATGAAGAGAAGCAAGGCCTCCTAACAGCTCGCAAACACGCCTCTGTCACGAGCAGTCACAGTAAAGAGCTTCAACCCTGGGATAAAAGTTCTCTGCTCCGTATTCAGGCAAAACTGTAAGGCATTAATACCAGAACTTGTGTGGGGGTTAAAGTGGATAAGGGCTTACTAGGTGCATTCCCAGGTCAGTTATCTCTGCCCCACTCATCACACCTGCTGAGGACAGAAGGTCAAAGAGCTTCCCTGGCTGGAGGTCTGAAGGGGCCAGGTCTCTCACTACTTCAGTTACCCAAGACAGCATCCGAATACCTCACCTCGTAGTCTTTCCTCGGAAGGATCTCATCCTCCTCTTCCTGTGTCTCCCCAAGGATCGTCTAGAAAAACAGATGCATAGAATGGAGACCTTTGACTGGTTAAGGGTGGAAAGAGGGAAGTCTTACTAAAAATCCAAGTCAGCAGGAGCCATCATCAAAGAGGAACAAAATTTCAAACACATTTGGGATGGTATTTAGTCACTAGCTGAGCTCTACACGTCTACTGATTGACACATTTCCCCAATCATAGCGCTCACCTTCAGGACATCGGAAGGATGTCTGAGGGCAGCTTAGTGAGGACAAAATTCGGGTTTCATTTGACAGCACCCGGAACATGAAATCAGCGGGAACGTGTCAACTCTGAGAACACAACTCAAGTTTTCCCAGGTTGCTTTGCAGGGGAAAGCTGGATCATCAGTGACCCAGAAAGAGTGGAGGATAGGATAAGAAAAGCCTGGAGAAACTAAACCAGCCCCACGACAATCAAGACCTGCGAAAGGCCTCATTCTGAAAATGCTTGCTTCATTCAAAACTCCTTTCCGATGCAAATAAAAGGAAACACGGACGGCGTTAACCCAAGCTGGCCGAGATCCTCCCTCAGACTGCAGAGAGAGGGGATGAGAAAAGAACTCGGACTCGAGCATGCGAAGCAAGGCGGATGCTCGCAGAGCCCAGGCAGCGGTCCCCCGGGCCCCACCCGCAGCCACCTGCCGGCGCGGTTCGGCTCGGCCCCACCCCCGGCAACGCCTCTTGTCATCCCGTGGCGACTGCCCCTCCCCAGCCCCGCCGCCGCTCACCAGCTCCTCGGGGGTGCGGGTCTCGCGTTCACCGCAGCAGCAGCACCACCTGCAGCAGCAGCACACAGAACCCCTGCACCCCGCCATCTTCCTCCTTTCCTGCCACTCCGGACCCCCTAGGCCAACCCCCCTCCCACCCAGAATCTGCGCCTCACGTGACTGGCCCCGGGAGGGTCACGTGGCCCTCTCGAGCTTTGGGACGGGAGACAGGGAGTGGCTGTGGACGGGTGGGGCGAGAGCTCGCGTCACATGACGCAGTACTAAGCCGGCTTCCCAAGAGACGGCCGGGCGCGGCCATATTGGGGCGGGACTTCCTGTCGCTGTCTTTGAACTTCCGCCTACCTCTTATCCTGTTTCCCTTGGCAACTGGCAGCTGCGCCCCGCCTCCTCATGTGCTAGGGAGATGGCGCCGCGACCGCCAAGGTTCTGACAGGACGGTGAGTGGCTCAGAGGCTTGGGACGCCGCGGAGGAATTCGCCGATTGGAGAAATGTGTCACTTTGCCTCCTTGTGGGCCGGCAGCTGGAGGCTGGCCCGTCCTGCGCTCTGCATTTGAAGGTTCCAGTCGCTCCTCCACCCTAAGGCAGCTCTAGAGGCTGTCATCCCAGCCTCCCTACCTGCACGAAAGTATCCCAAGGTTAAAGGAATCCTGGATCTGAGGCAGTGATCCGGCCTCCGGAGCCGTCTGGGACTCGTATCCCCGTCCAGGCCTGTGACCCACTGACCAGGTGACCCGATTCCTGTCCCTCAGGCCACCCAGCACCAAGGTGGTTGGTTACCAGCCATAGTGTCTGTCTATCTGTCTAGCTCTATCTGTCTGTCATTGTTTTGTTTTGTTTTTCGAGACTGGGTTTCTCTGTGCAGCCCTGACTGTACTGGAACTCTGTAGACCAGATTGGCCTTGAACTCAGCGCTTGCCTCCTGAGAGCTGGGATTTAATGTGTGCGCTCCCACGCCTGGCTGCCAGTTTCTTTTTTTCTTTTTTGATTTTTTGAGACAGGGTTTCTCTGTGTTGCTTTGGAGCCTGTTGTGGAACAAACTTGTAGATCAGACTGGCCTTGAACTCACACAGAGATCCGCTTGCCCCTGCCTGCTGAGTGCTGGAATTAAAGGCATGCCCCACCAGCGCCCTGCTGGCTGCCAGTTTCTTAAAACCTGCCTCCCTGACAGAATCTGGAGAGGAGTGGTGGACCACTGGCTTTGTCACCCAGGTGCCCACAGCATTCTCCTGTGCATGTATGTCCGTCGCAACAGTTTTGGGAGTGGTAGGGCTGTGTTTGTCACAGTCTAAGTCGGTGATTAGTAGGTGGCAGAGGGGCATCTTGAGACGAGTGTGGAGGCCCTGGCCATTAGGACTCAGTGAGTACTGGCTGTTACTACTCTGCCGGGTACTGGATCCCTGGTCCTGGTCTCAGGCAAGGGACCAACAGCAGCGCAGAAGGCTAAGCAAACTTGTTAAGCCACAGTCTCAGCCTTGTGTTGTGAAAGCCCAACTAAAGGATAGTTGGTGCCAGTTAGTTGAAATATGGCACGTATTAGAAATGCTTAAATCAGAGGCAAAGGCAGGTGGATCTCTGTGAGTTCGAGGCCAGCCTGGTCTATAAGAGCTGGTTCTAGGACAGGCTTCAAAGCTACAGAGGAACCCTGTCTTGAAAATCTAAAAAAGGAAAAAGGAAAAAAGAAAAATAAAAGAAATGCTTAAATCTTGGAGCAGTATGCTGCGGAAGAGAATGAGGAGGAAGGTCATGTTTGACATGTAAGGTTACCTTCTTCCTCACTCTCCATGAGAACCTGGCCGTTTTAGGTCAGAACAAAACTGGCCTAAATACACAGGGGATAGCACTGGCACTAAGCCGGGGCAGAGCTTCTAGAACTGGCTCCTTGACCTGTCTTCTGTGCCTTAGGAGAGGAAGGAGACGTGAATTTTTTTTTCCTGATTCTTGAGGCTAAGACCCAAAATGGTACATTGACTTAGAGGTGGAAGTTTCTGGAAAGGAACGAGCCTGACTTGGCTGTTCCTCCGTTGCTCCACGTCGCCGCACGGATCTCCACTACTGTGTTTGCCCACTGCTGTGCAGCCGTCATGTTTGTTTTGTTCTCAGACGTCTGTCATTTCCTGACCAGACTGCAATGTGGCTCTCTGCCCTGTAAGCCGGGCTGCAACTGCTGTGATCAGGACCGCGTATGTGGTGGTACTGTGGTCCCTGATTCCTTTGACCTCAGGAACATATGGGGCAGCCTTGTTCAGAGCTGGACACAAATCCCTAGCCTTAGTGATTTCAGTCAAGTTCTAGCTCACAGCACAACATTGTTTTTTGGAGTAGCGTGAATTCAGGCAATCAGACTGCCTGGCCATGCCGCTCACAGCCTCTACCGTGTTCCAGACGGGGCCAGTGCCTGTGATCTGTTCTTTCTTTGGAGGGGGAAATCCAGTGACCCTGAATGGCTAGTGGCCTAATCTCCACCAACCCCTGCCGTCCCAGCCTGCCCACATTCTCCCCTCCCCCCACCCTTCAGCCGGCTTCTTTGACTTGCGCCTGAGTCTTCTCTCCAGCCTAGAAACCTTACTCCCGCCCCTTTGCGTGGCCCCAGCTTTAGCTCAGGGCTCTTTGTCACAGCTCCGCCCACTTGTGCACACCCTCCAGGAAAGGTTCCCTGTTCCTTCCCCTCTCATTCGTCTAAGCTGACTGAGATGAACCATCGCGAAACCAGGGTCCTCCCTGCTGGCCACTGTTCCCCATCCCTAGGAATGTGGGCCTCAGAGGCTGGCTGTGTGAGGCTTTCTGTACCACCCTCTATCAGGTAGCTGTCAGCAAGGATTCCTGAGCTGGAGGATCCAAGAGCGGCTCAGTGCCTAGTGGGAGGTCATCACACAGAGAAGCCAGACGACAGCAGGGGGGCAGAGCGCATGGAGCCTCTGGGTAGGAGCCGTGTGAGCTTCGCCCTTGTCGGCTGCCTTCCTGTGTTGAGCAGCGTTCGCTACTGGAGTTGCCTGCTCAGGTGTTGGGTGTACATGGGGTTTGGCGACCAGCCCCCTGATGGCCCCGGCCCCTACCCTGTACAGCAGGAACCCAGCCATGGTGAACGAGGGCAGCAGCAGTGGCAGCGAGAGCTCCAAGGACAGCTCGAGATGTTCCACACCCAGCCTGGACCCAGAGCGGCACGAGAGACTCCGCGAGAAGATGAGGCGCAGAATGGACTCTGGTGACAAGTGGTTCTCCCTGGAGTTCTTCCCTCCTCGGACTGCTGAGGGAGCTGTTAACCTCATCTCAAGGTGAGTAGGGAGGGAGGTTAAGTAATGGGGGTCGGTGGAGGGGAACAGAGCTGCCCTTTAACCCGGCAGGAAAAGGCACTGGAGAGGGGAGGCAGGAAGAAGCAGAGGCGAGACAGGGAGTTTGGTCTCAACTTAAAACTTCTTGTCTGCAAAAGTCCCTCTGGGGCAGCATCGGATATGTTTGGACACACTCTTCAGCAGGCCAAAAATGTTCATTCCCAGGCTGCATTTTTTGGCAGAACGTGGGGCTGGCTCACAAGGAGCTTAGGAAGTCAACAAATAGCAACGTAGGGATTGTGCTGAGCTAGCTGGACACAGGGCGTGTGTTTCCAAATCAGGAAAGGCACGCTTCGTGGTGGCACTCTTTGAATTTCAGTTCCTTTCTTCAAGTTGGAGAGTGCTTTGCTAGGCCCTGTGCTTTGTCCCCAGCGTCACAAAGAGAGAAAGGGAAGACGGGCATAGGGGTGCTCAGAGGCAGGAGGATGATTGTGAGTGCAGGCCAGCCAGGGTCACTTAATGATACTCTGTCTCAAGGAGGGGTGGGTAGGGAGGGTGTAGCTAAGTTGATGGAGTGAGTGTGTAGCTTGCAGGAAACCCTAAGTTTGATCCCTAACAGTTCATAAGCAGGGTTTTCTGTGCACCAGCTCTAGCTGTCCTGGAACTCGCTCTGTAGACCAGGCTGGCCTCGAACTCACAGAGATCCACCTGCCTCTGCCTCCCGAGTGCTGGGATTAAAGGCCACTGCCCGGCTAAGAAGGCTTCTTTTGAACTTAGTTCAGGAACCCAGCCTTGCTCTGCAATACAAGAGAAAGCTGCATCTGCTGATCTCTCTCTCTCTCTCTCTCTCTCTCTCTCTCTCTCTCTCTCTCTCT